TCCAGGAATTACACCCATATGTGCACCCATTTTCAACCTTGGTATCACCCAACCCTGAAAACAAATTCTTAATACCACGCTGAAGCGTTTGGTAATAAGTAGTTTCTATATACATGGTTTGCTATGCTATATATAGAGGACATCATATGCTTGATTTAACGAGTGTAACATTTCTTTATCGCATATCTTCTTTTTTTCTCTTTCAACCACAAAGGTTACTGACTTTGAAAGCATAATTTGCGAACACATATCTAAGATTTCGGAGAGTGTCCTGTAGCATTAAATGTTTGCTTGGTCATGTCATTGCGGTGTAATGTTTTATCTGCTGTCACATCGTCACATGAGGATATCCCAAGATCGATTGATTGTCAAATTACACATTTTTGTCTGATTTAAAAGCGAGCGAATCCACAGATCCCAGCCCTCTTTTTATATACAAACCCGCCCTCGAAAGTTATTTTAGCTAATCATAGTATAATGAGTCATTGCAACATTAAACCAATCGTTATCGATACAGCGATAACCTTACAACTTGGTTGATATAACAAAAACACGTTTCAATTGCCAATAAAAAATGGCGTTTAAAATGGAGGTGGAAGCTGCACTAGAACTTTCCTCGAAGGAGATGTCTAGATGAATTCTACAAAAAGATGGTTATAGAACTACCTAAAACAAACTCCGGGTGATTCTAGAACTATCTGTACTTGCCCTCGCCTTGTTATTCGTTCAGATAATGCCCGCACAATACATTAGTGTGACGTCACAAGTGTTGTTTGAGGATAGTTTCACTTAGCCATGTTCTATAATATATTAATGACAACATGTTGGGCTCTTGCAACGTAATGTGAAATTCAATTTAGTAAAACATTCTGTGTTGTGTTGTCAAATGTTAAAATTATATAGCTTATAGAATCGATAAAGTCCTTATAATTTCAACAAGCTCTTATTTAGGGTGATTGTGTGTGTGTTTGAATGATTTTGATTGTGTCAATAATCTAATATAGTATTTGTTTATTTGCATAACGTTTCACACAATAGCGATGTGCTTGATAATGACCTTATGCATATGTACATCGCTCACATGCGAGATTATTCGAGTAATTCCATAAACAATGTCCCAATAAAGGAAAACAAATATGTATTTGGTAATAGTGAAAGAGAAATAATAACCAAAAGATATCTTTGACAATAATCATTAACTAATAATGTATAATGAACACGTTACACACCTCAGTCAATCTAAACAAACAACTCATGAGTTGTAAGGAAAGTAAACCACAATATCTATTCAAATCATTAAGATAAAGGTTGTGGTCATCTCAGCAAACATGAAGTTGAGTCAATTCCACAAAACAAACAAATGACGACAAGCTACAAGCACATTACAACTCAATCAGTAACATAAATATATGTACTTCATGGTGAACATGACACTAAGTGATGTTACCCTTGTCGAAATTGAAAAGTATGGATACGGATATTTTATTTGTGTAGATTTCGAAACTATAAACTAAGCTCAGAAAGGATATCGCCAACTGTAAATGTATTCACATATTCAGTTAGTTGTATATTCCAACCCATGGAAACAGCTGCGACATGCAACAAGCACACATTACCATACAACTACATGGACTTTCACAAAGACGAATTCGTGCGGAGTAACAAGATATGCAGAACATAACAAAATATTGTCCTATAATAATTGTAGTATGTTATGTTCTTACTGTATATTGCATCTACACAATTATTTACTTCGGACTAGTAATAGTGTGCTTTTGTCATACGATGTGCCGACAAACGGATACACAGCTGTAAACGTGACGAACAGTTATATTCAGTATACGGAGGATCGTCATACTTCATCATCAGTCAAATTAACGCCAGGACAAATGATGCCAGGTAAATTTTAATGTTTTTAAATGTAAATTATAGAATATTTGAACAAAGATTCATGCTTAAATGTGAATGTATTTAGTATATCATATGATCAATTGCGTAATAACATTGGAACCAACAACTGGGATAAAAGATTGTCATCATTAATATGTCCCATGTTGCATCATGCATGTATTTAGCATTGGGAAACGGGGTTGAACCAAAATATCTCGTTTGTTGTGGTTGTGTTATCAGAATTGAACTATCGCCACAAGGACAACCATGCGATTATATCTAATCTGCAAGCATATGCATTAACTATAACACCAAACAGATTTGCAAGCCATTTACATTATTTATGCGTTCTAACATGTCACACCAGTAGCTTGATGCCATTGAGGCACTTTGGAAGAATAAACATCTTCTCTTCATCTCTTCCTGTCTTCACTTGTTTCTAGACATTCTACCAATGTCTCTCGCTATATCTTATATGCGCCGATGTACCATTATTGCTACCAATGTGGCCAAACCTGCAGTATTCTTTGCCTCTACTTTCAGTTCTTACTCATTCGTTGGAGTAGTCTTCTAAATCATCTCATTTCAAAAGCTTCTACAAGTTTTTCTTATTGATTATTGTTGTACTATCGCCAGTAAATTGATGTATTTTAGATTTGTTGATATTGTGTCTTCCTACTGAGAGGAGAAAGCTGCACTCCAATTTTCCTCATAGTCAACAAAATTATGGGACTCTGGGATTATTTACTTCTCCCTGTACGGAAACCTGCTTGTTCTTCAGCTAGTATTGATTCTCAGCTTGTACCTACAGTCTGCTGTCTGTTATTCCGAGAAGTACTTTGCTCGGATGACTTATCAAGCTTATGGTCTTGTAGTTGTTGCAACTGTATAAGTTGTTTGGCAAAGTTATTATCAATGATTGGGTTTCTTGTTTTGGCCAGTTTTACTGAACAGCTTTCGGACATTTATATTTGCTTCTTTGTATTTCTTATTGCTTTCTCTGTTTTTTAATCTTTTAGCTTTTTATGCACTTCTTTCCTAACTCAGAGGATGCATATGATGTGATAATTGTTTTCGGGCACCTACATTTCATGAATTATTATGGTTCTTAAGATAAAACCAGACTTATTGTCTCCCAAATTGGAATGTATTAACAAAAGATAATGAGTTACATGCATTTAATTTGGGTCTTTTTAACTCAAATGTGTTATGTACCCAAACAAAAACTAGTGATAAAATGTCTATCCTACCCTAAAATTACACTTCTGAAATGTTTACACTCGTATCTTGCGCTTGTTCCTCGTATTAACCGCGATATGCAAAAACACAATAAGTCGTAGCTATACCACCAGTCAGTAAATAATTTTAAGTCAACGATATTTCCCAAACGAAACTGAAATCAACTTACTCAGATTGTTATAATTATATTTCTTGACTGTAAAAGTACATCACATCTAGATATTGAAAAATGTCCAAGCTACAACATCAATTGATATGTACATGTAATATATACTGTCCAAAGGGGGTAGTTCACTATATTCAATTATAAAAGTCAATGTTTACGTAAGGGATATTTGTTTCCAAGGCACAAATTAAAAAGAAATTCCGTAATTTATTCAATGTAACATAAAGTTCAATTCAGAATTAACTTATAAGAAACTAATTATATTATTAATTCTAGACACTGTTGAGTGTGATCTTCACTTCTCTGAGAAGAAGCTTCCAATTGCTGTCTTAGCAAGTCCACCTGGTGCAGGGAATACATGGGTTCGTTATCTCTTACAACAAGCTACTGGTATATACACAGGATCAGTGTACCATGATCAAGGACTTTATGATGCAGGTACTGTACTTACCTATTTAGATATTGCTGTTAAGAGGGAAAGTGACGTTCTACCAATAATACCAGCATAGAAAGGTTCTGCCTTAAGGAGTTATATCTGTTTTAATGATTAGGTAAAGAACTGTCTTCATAAGGTTTAAAGAAGCTATATTTTCATAGATTTGAACTACTGTATATAGTCAACTTGAATTTACTTAATATTGCTCAGTGGTTGTTTTTACGTTTCTGTTGTTTGGATGATTCTTGTTTCCTTTTGTGTTTGCTTCAATTGTGTTGCTTGTTTGTATGTATGTAATTACACAACACGTTACGTGATTGTATCTTTGGCAGAGGTAAAATTTTGCAGGGGATATGTAACCTCTTGTAGTGAGAACCGGTATGACTGTCCTGTCGACTGAGGTTCTAAGGGTTGTTAAATGTTCAATAAACTTTTCCCGTGAATCAAGAATCGCCATAAATTACTGATAAATTACTGAATCTGAAAAGAGTAGTGGTGACTCACTTCATAGTACTGGAATTATCACCACACATTGTGCGTACAAATGTTCAGAAAATCAGATTAATTTGACCAATTGTGACACATTTTCTATAAAAAGTAGCTTTGGCATATAATACTGACACAAATCCCCGAAACAATACATAATTAATAATTCAAAGAATCTTTATTCTGTGGAGTAGGTCAAAAATTTACATCATCTCCATGAAGCTCTATGTCAAATAAACAAAGGGCAAGACCGAGAATAAATAACCTAGGCAGCGGTAGATCCTTTCGCGATACTATAAAAGTTGTTTTCAAAATAAAGTAATACGCCTTGAATTTATTCACTTAATTTGTGGTCTCCACTTTTGTCACTACAGGCTTTCTTGGTGAAATGGCGAGTCCTTATGATGGACAGGTTCTTGTCTCTACAATAAAAAATCCACATGACATGTTGAATTTCTCAGCTGTTATTTTACTGATCCGGAATATATATGCCGCGACCTTGTCTGAGATTAACAGAAAGATGACAAGTAACCAAACAGTCATTGCTGATTTCAATAGTAAGTTTATCTGAAATAGTGAATGTTCTTTGACAGAGTCAACTTCAAAAATACAATCATGAGATATATAAATGCTGTTTAACCTTACTTATTTACTTGAACTATTGTGTTATCCATGTTTACTATGTTATATTGTATTCATTTATTCCTATGAAACAGCTCTGATGAAAATGACACATGTTAGAATATCGCCCTTTTTCAATAAATACACAATGTCATAGTTCCTGTTTTCATTTGACTGGCTTAACATTCGATGACCTAAAAATAATGTCTTCTCTATGTAACATAATCTGTTAAAGTATGTTCGAGAAATAGGTAATAGTACATAAATAGAACCAAAATGGCCACCAGGTATAGATATCGTGTTGTTCATACTGTCAGGGGGGAATTCTTCTCTCTGGGTTCTCCACACGTGCCAGGGGGGGAATCTCGTCTCGTCTCTATATCTCGTCCCCTTGAGGTACGGGATCGGGGAAGCCTCTTAAGCCTTACGGTCAAATAAGACACACACAACGAAATACGTTTCAGCTCTCGTCTTAGTCGGTCAATCGAGCACTTAATCAGACACAGCGCCCTGGGGAAAAATCCCTTAGACTATCGCAAGGCTGACCCAAGACTAGCCCAAGACTGGATTTTAGACTGCGTCGGTCGTGCTGTGCTCCCCAAGACCAACTCAAACTCTCTTTATTCATTTTCAAAACTCTAACCAATTACAAAGCAGTAAAAAGACTCTAGGGCGTAGCCTTCAATCATAAAGCCAATCATACTAAGTACTGAACACGTCATATCTTTTGATTAATCGTTCACTACATTAATAACTACGGATACCAACTGTCAGAATTAATAGTCAGAATAGCGACGGTTACCTCGTAATTAGTTCCAAATCACTGAGCCAAGTTCCGTCCAGGACCTCGCCTGCCTAAACGATGACAGACATAACACAGCAATTCGCTCGTAATCAGCTAATTAAGTCGGTCAACAGATACGCGTAAACAAATTCATGACAATACCAAGTGTGAATAATATTGACATTATGTTTTGTTTTGTATAAAATTTTAACAATATCAGTGAAAATGTATCTGAACAACTGGCATGATGCATGGGAAACGAATAAAAGACACCACGAATTATTCCAATACAATATTTGAATAAAATCGACCCAGACATGTCTGAGAAACGGTTGTTGACATGTTAAAATGGTAATTTTGAGGTTTGCAGCAGACGGACGAACAAAACCTATGACATTAGACTACCTTCTATTTTGACTAATAATATATTTGTACTGGTGCTGCTATTGTATTGTGTTTACATTTTCAGAATTCGTACTAAATACGGCTAAATATCTTTCTCATGTGGTGAGAATTTGGTTATTGGATCATCGTGTCCCAACACTAGTTGTCCATTATGAAGACTTGATAAAGAACACGGTTGGTGAAGTCACCCGTATGTTAGATTTTTTAAATGTCAGCGAAAACGAACGTCGTATGAGATGTCTTGAGAATGTCGAAGAGGGGAAATTTCAAAGACGATCAAAAAATGATTGGAATCAGAAATATAACGTGTTTCACGACATGCAAAATGTTATAAACGAACGAATGAAATCTATATCACAATTACTTGAAGAGAGGGGGGACAAACCAATTGCCACGTTTAATCTTTCTTTTCATTCATATACATTTGACAGAATGACAAATCACACTCTTCCAGGCGTTCAGGTCTCTCATAGATGTAATGTTACACAATGTTTCTGTATATCTTAACGCGGGGGAGTCGTCGCCTACGCATGCGTCAGGGGGCCGCAGCGTGTCATTGTTTACAAACAAGCGTCTACCCATGAGCCTTTGCATGTGCTGTTATCATCGCTTGGGACTCAATTCCTGCGCATGCGCAGGTGACGTAGGTTATCTACTCATTTCATGGCATGCATATACTAAATGGTGGTTGTACTTCATATGCAACTATAGTATGCGTGCATGATTTTGTATGACGTTGTGACAAATATGTATATATATATATCATTAATGACCGCAATATTGTATATCTTGATTTGGGACTTTACACCTCTAAAGATTAAAAGGGGTATAAATTGTAGTCTATGTGTGTAACATTTGAATTAATATTAAAATTAAAAAAAATGTTTTCCTACTTAATATATTCTATATTTTCAGCTGTAAATGATCATTTCTTCCATTTCATCGCTTTTATTATGTGTATATTATGGAAAGCCGTACGGGACCCTGCTGCGTCAATATAAATTGCATGGTAAAACATATAGCTTCAAAATTATGCTGCTTCTTCAACAAAAATGCGATTTCCGATGTCTACGTTTACCAATTGTAGTAGTAGCAATCAGTGCAAAACTTATTCATAGTCGTCGCTAAATAATTAGCAGTTGTCGCAAAACGAGTTGTAGTAGTCGCCACTAACACTTAATTTCTAGATGACGACGACTTTTCATTTTCAAAGATGTCAACGCAAATGGATCCCCTAGTAGACGACGCAACTTGCACTTTTTAAGTTATCGACGCAAAATGAGTCCCCCTAGGAGACTTTGCACTTTGTATTTCAAGTTGACGCAGACGTATATTTTCTAGTACTAAGACGACGACGCAAAATGTACAGTGCATTTTCAAGTTGACGCAGACGCATTTCGATATCTCGCGTCTGCCGAGAATATGTAAATGACAAAAACCCGGAAGTATGGTCATCGATTTACCAGATCTGAGTTGGTCATGTTCAATAATGTATGTTATTAATCGGTTTTAGTATTGCTCCCAGGCAAACGAGCAAAATCAAGTATTGACTGGTATTCTGTTCATAGTTTCACAAAATATGGCTGAAATATCCAGTATACACGGTAAAATATCTCGTCCCCTGTTATGTGTTTTCGTGTAGACCACGCAAAATGGGACACTGTTTATTGCTACCGGCTATTTGTGTTGCCTTTTTCTTATCTTTAGGGGTTGGTAATTTTAAATCATAGGAAGTGGCTGGAAAATTTCTTTTAAAAAAATTGCAAGTTAGACACAGAGAAAGAAAATGTATGAAAGAAGGACATTCAGGATAAATAAAAACGTACAGATAAGATACTGTGAAAAGTATTGCACTGGCCATACGCTTCCATCTCCCTATATTTTAAATGCCCAACCCTTTATGTTGTGCTATTTAATGTACACCTGAGATGAAAACTGGTGTTTCGTAATTACTTGCTATAGTTACTATAATTACTATAATTACTTAATTGCTATAATTACTTGTCAAAGTGGATGACAATTTATTTGCAGAAATGTTTTCAAATACCGATAAATTTGCAATCACATTTAATCAAATCATACAAACTTGACTTGAGGAAATTAAAGGTTGTTTTGTCAGTGGCATGCTAATTATTATTTAGGTCACTGCACAAATGCGAATCTGCAAACATATTCCTGAAAGAGTGACCACGTAAAATAAATGTACTAATTAAATAGCGACGACTACGAATAATTTTTGCGCCGAATGCTACTACTCCAACTGGTAAACGTAGACATCGGGAATCCCACTTTTGTAGAAGCTGCAGCAGGTTTGTGGTGCTGTATGTTTTACCATGCAATGTAAATTGACGCAGTATGGTCCCGTACGGCTTTCCATAGTAAATATATTAAATAATTGTTATTATACATGGTCTCAATGCACACTATTTCCAGCGTTGGAACAGTGCTTCATGGTGTAACTGGGGACGTGTCTGCTTTAAGTGGCATGCGTATTTACTGAGTTGCAATTGTTATTAATTTGATATTATCGAAAACATTTCGTTGCGAGTAAAGCGTTTACAATACACGCTATTTCGAGCTGTTTCTTTGAGATGACTGGAATGATATATATACCTGTTATTGAGTAAACTTTATAACTGTTTGACTTCTCAAAATCTATCTTTGAGTTTCAAATTATTGTACACTCGGAAAATCATTCCTTATTGATATGCAGTAGGTACCACATGTGCAACAAGGTAAACTCACTCTTTTTGAAACCCAAGACATCTTTTCTTGTCTGTGTGGAATGAGGTCAATTTACCTTCCCTAATCTAACTACCAGATTTCGTTTTGTTTTGTTTTATTATTTTGTAATAATTCATTTTTTTGCGCCACGATTGCGTCTTGCATACACCAAAACACAACGGCAAAAATAAAAAAAAAGATTGGAAAGTTTTTATCATCAGTGTTGCAAGCGGCTGGTTATCAATTGCGTGAATTGGGTGATCATGTGTAAGGCTTTGTCTCGTGTTCAGTGTTACCATAACGACATCATGTATTCAAATTTGTTTCACACGACGTTACAGTATTATTTAGGATAAACAACTTGCATGTTTAGAGTTGATATTATAAACATATATTACATGAATTTTATAAATAGATTGTTTACTAATTGTATTTCGTAGTGGAAACCACGCAATGCTTTAACCGTGAGACACATCCCTGGTAATCACGTGATCGTGCCAACGACTGCAGCGATTGTCAGATCGCATGTTTACTCTGCCAATAATTAGATTTTATGATAGAAATTATAAGACTTGTAAAAGAGAAGGGGCAGCGAGGCGTTAGCTCAGCTGACCGTTTGGGTGAATAAAGCTGACTAACTGTAATGAACTAATGTGTAATCCTTTGGGTCGAATCTGGTATCAACAACAAAAAAGCAAGTGACGACGAATGTATTTTTATATATGTTTAATTGTAATGCTACTCCAACCGAATTCACTATTGGATATTGGTGATAAATAAAAATTTACATCGTCCTATACTTAAGTTTTCTCTTCCACACGATAGTTAAAGACAAATTGTTATTCTTCCCAAAAATTCCTAACCTGTACACCAAGATGTTTGATTTCAGAGGGCCGTTCATTCATTATTCGGCATATTAATACAAGCGTTATAGTTTTAAATTGCTACGTATATACATATAAGAAACTGTACAAATGTGGCAGTTTACTCACAATAATAAAAGAGCATGTTCCAGAAGTAAATACTCCGATAGGATTGAAGGTTATGAAAGTGGTAAACTGATCAAACATATTTCACTGACACACTAATGTACACATTTATGTACAGGTCTTATATTTCAATTAAACAAATGAAGCTGGTTCAACTGCACGGGATTTGGCAAATATCGGACCCAGCTAAATTTACGCTTTAAAGCGGGGGTGTCGTCACCTGCGCATGTGTCATATGGCCATAGCGTGTCATTCTATACAAACAAGCGTCTACCCATGAGTCTTTGCGTTTTTAGCGTGTGTTATCATCGCTTGACTTAATCTCCACGCGTGCGCGGGTGACGATCATCCCGCTTTAAATACATCATTCTGTCGTCTCAAATCCAACTATTTCTCAATAAAATATCAATCGTCTTCTGTCTTGGATCGTATTAAAAAATACAGTTTTAATAGTACACGTCATTACTTGCTGAACGTTGTTTTCAAAATATGGAGAAATATATTTATGGTGCCACGTGACCACGCGCCTTAATACATATTCTTGTGGTGTAAATCCTACAAATATTTTAATTACAATTAATTTAAAAATTATATTTATAACCTGAATTTTGAACGAACGTTCACCCTGCAATTGTTTTAACTTTTCCGATAAGTCAACCGACAAATATCATGGTCCATCGAGAATAGCTCTTTTTCGCCAAACTTCAAAACTGCATCAGTAAATTGTGTAAACAGCCTGGTCATGTAGTTGAGACGAATAGGGATCCATCCTTCAAGGAAAGCAACATGTCCACCACGTGACGTCACAGCTAAGATTATATTTGAGTACTGATTTGCTTCTTCGATAGGAAAGGCTGAAATTAATGATATGCATCATTAATTAAAGACGTTTGTGCTTGTCGCTGGGTGATCCCGCACATAGGTGGCGAAACGACCATCATGCGACGACTGTGACACATTAAAACGGTCATGTATTAAAGGAAACGTTCTTAAATTGTCATATCTATTGATAAACAACAGATAAAAGGTAATGTATTGACTGCTCACCACATTCCGGAGATATGGGATCGTCAGTAGCGTTCAGACAGAGAACAGGAATTTTGATGTTAGGTAGCTTGTGATGGAGACGACAATCAGTCTGATATTCTTCAAAGTTGCTGTATCCGAACATTTTTACTAAGACCTTCGCTTCAAATTCTTGAACAGTTGCACACTAGTGACAACACATAAATAAACTGCGTTACTGTTGTTTTAAGATAATGTAGCATATCAATTCATGCACGTTTGTCGCTAAATGCGATACAGGAATTCTGGGATCATTCTAATACAATAACAGAAAAGAAAACTGTGCAATAATGCGTGGTAGAGTCAAAAGTATATGCTTTTTTGCTAACAAATCGTATAGGTACCACCAAAAAAGTTTAGAAAATTACAAAAAGTTAGACAGTATGTAAACGTAGTATTCAACTATATATTAATTAATCTACATACTTTCAATATAACTTCAATATCATAATGCGGTTTCATTAGTCCGGCGTTTCTGGGAGAATAAGAGTAGTGTATATTATTTAAAATATTCACATTCGAGGAAATAGCTTCAACGGGCAAGTTTGAGTTTGGGTAACATTGTTTTGAAATCGATGTATTATACGCTCCTTGTTTTGTTGTCAATACATTGCTAGCTTAAAGGGAAATTGAAGGCAAACAACATAACCCAAAGAAAGACCTCCACAAAAGTAGGAGAATGCAGTTTAAAAACTTTTTTATAACTTTTCATTCTCAATATTCAACTTTTCATCAGTATAATGTAGTCTGCCATCTTGATTTTCCAGCAAATGATTGTGGGTAAAGTGTGACATCATATCCACTGTTGTGAAAAATTGAGAAAATGTATTCATTTTTTTTAGTCTTATGTTGTTAGACTTGACTTTTCCTTTATAATTAAAAAAAAAGTATTCCGGGTGTATAATATTGTACAGATTAATGACGACGGTTACAACAAACGGAGCAAGGAAGGCTCTAGTGACGATCTATAGGCTTTTTTGCTCTAGTGACGAATCTTTTGGATGTAAGCAGCATCTTTCTCTGAATCGACAGCCGTTCGTAAATAAATGATGTCACCAGGATGTTGCTTCGATATTGAATCTAACATTTGCAGAGATAGTTGTTCAAATTGAATGCTACCTCCAATATGACCGTGATCTGCACTATCTGAGTAAGAAACGTGAAAGGCGGATATTTGGGGCAAGGGCAACAACACCATGAAGCTTCATAGAAAAAAAAGGTTTAAAAATTCAGGTTCGCGTTTTTATCGAGAAAGGGAATATGGACCTTTCACATGCAAACAGCCTCCGTCTCATTTTCATCAGTCATCTTATCCACTGTTCCAAATATTTCGAATAAATAGATCATGCGATGACGCGATGACGAGAGAATTATTAATTAACATTATTTAAAAAATAAAACAAATCTCGTAACTCTCGTTATCAACGAGACGTTGGCGGCCATTTGCAACTAATGTACATGGATTACAATATACGTACGCAACTACTTGTCCCTTTAGGTCGTCTAGGATGAATTTAGAAAAAAGGGGCTTGTTGATAGACGTTTCCAGCGATTTATGAACTTCCATCATATCCCACGCTGGTGAAAATACAAGCGCTGCTTTAAACCCGCAACTATCCCTAGTCTTGGACAGGTAGTTCAACAATACGGTCCTGTAAATTCAATCAAATATCTAAAAACTGGATGTGAAGAGGACGACTTTGTGTAAAAAAAAATCTTGTAGGGGATGATAACAAAAAAAAAATATATTTGAATGTGCAAGATTTTTCTAACAAAATATAAATTTGAATAAAATATATTTGAATAAAAATAATTTTTTCCGCTACTTCTCTCGATTTCGAATGATTAACCCTCTAAGAAACAAAGGTATGAGTTTACACAATCCTGGAATGATGGAAACCATGCTGTAAGAATACAAATTTCCGTAATTGCGATGAATATTACAAGACTAAAACGAAGTCGGAGTGATGAACTCGTTCAAATTTGCGTAAACAAACATTTAACATGCGTTTAATACGTTGCACAGGAACGTATCGAACTGTAGCGGTGTGGTGACTAAGGTGGTTTAAAAAAAATAGAAACAAAGCCACTTACGCTCCCATGGAGACAGCCACACAAATCATCATAGTGTTTGGGTGGTTTGATTTCAAATGCTCCATTGCAAGTTCAAGATCGCCAGTGTATGGTGGTGCATAGGATTTTGCAGTCTGCAATATTTAACAACTACAGAATAATAACTTACAAAACATTCACCGGGAGTAACTAAATAACCTTAAATCACCAATCCCGTACGGTAACCATTTTAGGGATGGTTTACCTTATTGTTGATGGAAGTGTCTATCACATGTGAATATTCTTGCATTTTGAGTGGATGTACTAACTCATAACAGCCTTACCTTAATCGCAAATTTTCCTCGTCCTCTGTAATTCATCACCACTGATCGATAGCCTATTTTCCTGGCTGATTTTGTAAACTCTATAATATAGCCTTCATCGGAATCACCTAGTAGTAAAAGCAACACAAGAGTGGTATAAATGATTAGCACACATAATGACAATGGTGACAAATCACGTGGTTCAAGTCGTCCTAAATGTGTTGTATACGTTTCATGGAACCAACATAGATCATGACGCGTGTCACTATTGAACACGTTACGTAACAAACGTTTTTATTCGAATTTCAACGTGTGTGATATAAGGGTGTTTTAGATATTATTGGTTATTAATTATGTATTTTGTAAAACCAGTTTTACAGGGAGCAAACTATGCAACACTCAATAACGCGCACGATTATTCATATATATCTGCACTTGGGTGTTAGGGTCGATGTACATGCACATTCACAAATTTTAACAATCTTTCTCTGTTTTTGCATGGTGTTTTGTAGCGTATTATTTTTTATACGATATACGGTTAGATGTATGCTGAGGGTACACAACCTGTTACACCGTATAGAAATAATATGATTGGTTTCTTCTCTAATTCGCTGTTTTGTGAGTTCGAATGATCATCGTCCATCCATTCAAGACAAATTTCACCTCCATCTGGAGGTTTCAGTATTTCACTGTAATGATAAATGATTTAAATTATTTTTATTACATCAGAATATAAGTAGATTTTTTTTATTTTCAAGATTCACAAAAAAAATATATTAATGTACTGTTCGGTTCGATATGATAACATAAGATGCAATTATATACATACAATACACACACGCGCGTTTTGGTTCCATGTTCCTTGTTCTATGTTTTAAATGTTTTAAATTGTCTCTTCAAATTTGACGGGGTACACTCTTAAGTTTCAAGGTTTTTTGTACTGTGATTGTCTTTTATTTTGTTTTACCCATGACCCAAAGACCACAATATGTTATTACAATACGATACGTAGATACACCATTGACTGAGGTCAGGGCATACAGTCATGTGATGTGAGGGCCCGTCATATATCATTCTGAGTTGTAATATAAGATGTATTTTTGTAAGGTAATCTTACAATTAGCTTTAGGGTCTTCCGAACTTGTTTAATAGTAACAACAGATTCAGTTATGAAGAAAACAATGGCTAAAAACATTTTAGTGGATCAGATTTTGTTGTGACATTTGTCATTGTTGGCATTTTGTAACACCTTATATCAACACAAATATTTGTCCTGTAATCTCCGATTACCGACGGACACGATTTTTGCGCATGCGTAGTCTACCCAGCAACGGGCGTGGGTAGAACAAAAATATCAAAAGGTCAAAATAACAGCCAACCTGGGAAGTCAGTGGCATATTTAAAACAGTTAATAGATAGCGGAATGAACGTGTGCTGGTAAAAAAGAGATTGCTAGAAGAACTACATTTTTATTTGAGGATACTGTTTACTGCGAGTTGGAAACGCGGATGACGGTGTACTGTTACAGCGCGTTTGGAACATTCTAAATATGTCCTACCTTCCGGTTTGTTGACCTCAGGTCAAGCAATATGCGCAAACGCTATGAATACTGAAATTACGTGTGTATGATATGGGAACTATGTCTGACAAGATATCGACATTACTGAGTTTGGGTTACCTTTTATATTGCACAGCAGGCACACGAAACACAGACTTGTGCAGCATAACTCTTAGTATAGACATCAGTCTTCCCTCGACACACCAAAACGTTGGCCAGTATGTCTCTTGTAACACTGGACAGTGTTTATGGAGGAAAGTCTTAAATTTCACATCCTTCCCAATGATTTGCGGTTTCTACACACAGAGTAACATGAAAACATTTTATATTATGTTTTTACATCGGTAAAATGGCGTATAATTTACAGAATATTATCTAAGAATAGAAACGACCCGCACATTAAAGCAGGTCAGTTTAAACATATTGGAGAAGCAATGACAGTATTGGACATAATAACAACACTGTACATTTTAGATCGAAACACATGTATATTGTTTTCCATGTTTCCATGTTTAAGCTTCATTCAACACTTAGGTCAATTTCACAACTTCATACGCTGGATATTCTCACTTAGATTTGGGTGGGAGTGGACCTAAAACGACTGTTCCCCAAAAGTGATGTTGAGGGCGTTTTTGTTTAACAAAAATAGCTTTTAATTTTAAAATTGAGAATCGGCTAAACCGTGAAAATGGAGGTCAAAACAGCGACGCATACCCGTAACTATGGGACCCTTCATACCTAGTACAGACAACCGGTTATTGCCAATACTTAGGTACTATGATAGTATTAAGAGTAATGATATATACTAACCTTAGCCACACAGTAAAGGTAGTTGAATGTGTAAACGCTTAAAAACAACACAATTAATGATATAATCGTCATATATTCATTTATCAGAGTACAAACCAAATCCATGATATGTGCGATGGGAAACAGCATTGTATAAATACGTTAATATTCAGTGTGGTATCATCGGCGCGCACATACAAATATGCGGGTGTTGAAGGAATCAACTATTCAAAATGGCCGCTCTACTCCCGATACGGGCATCCCAATTGGGAGTTGTGATAGGTCGGGGATATACTCAGGGTTAGGTTTCGCTACCTTTTTATGTTTATATGGTATCTGACCTCGTATGTTGTTACTCCACAACCCTTACTTACACTAACCCTATCACAACTCTTGAGTGTCCTTGTCTCCTGAACTCAGTCGTCAGTGTAATTTGTTCTGATTCACATGGATCCAAATGTCTTCCTTGCGCAACATATGATAAGCAGGCTGGGTATATATTGTGCCGTATTTTGTTTTGTTTTTTGAATAGAGCTGTTATCCCACAGGGAGCCCAGGAACTATAATCAACTGTAATACACAGTCTCTATGAGCGGGGGGGGGTATCGGCTGGTATCTAGTGTACGAAATAGACAAGGGGTGAAGGCTCCAGCCGGCTCACATTTTTTAAACTCAAAAAAACAGACGAAAAGAATGAAAAATAAAATATAAAAAAAATACCAGGTTGAAGAATATTAGTTGCTTCTTCAAATTCCGCCAAAGCCCTACCTATGTTTTACCGATATCTGCAGAATAAATCAAGAAAACTACACAAATTTACTCCATTTAGGAATTCCTAACGGTTTGCCCGAACGCACGGCACAGTTGGAGGCGTGGCCTGTTCAGCATTTGTCAACAACCAATCACAAGACTGGTTACGAACCAGTTGAGCAAGGATCTACTTATTCTTGTATATAAGCCCGCACATGCGCAGAAGCATTAATTTTTCCCCGGGTTTTAATTTGCCTCTTTTCGCTGTGAAGTTAGATCAGCTACTTAAAATTAAATTAATATAAAAATTACAATATAGTACATTGTTTTTCTGTCAATTTATAACTCAGTGAATATGGTAAATTATATAGTTAGTCTAGTGCAAAATATGATTAGAAGCTTTGTATAACTACTGCTGGAAACAATTCAATGCATATATTGTATGACAACCATGGAAGGTAATCTTTACAAAGTTTAATATTAACTACATATCGTATTTAGTATCTGAGTTTCATGTAATCAACGCATATTCGTGTAATGATTTATATAATCTACACGCACATCAAATCTTTATGGTATATGGTATAAATGTTGAACATATATTTTTTATTAAAATTAATTACTTAAAAAAACTACTGTCTTACACAAAAAATAGTTTAATTATTTTATGCCAACAATTCTCATGCCAAGGGAACGGTTTGTTGATATTGAGTGCATCTTAATGGTAATTATAGTGTTAATGCAGCGTCAGGTTATGGTCAACGTATATCAACCACTCACTAAAGTAACATCTATTTGTTACAAAAATTGGAATATATACCTTGCTAAAAGATATACAGAAAACCGTATTCAGACATCTTCGCCAGCCAAGGTTCGTTTATTTGCCTTTCCCCTCGCCGCTAGTATATACTAGTACTCAGTAGATTAAATTCAATAAGGCCGCCCTCTTTGACAATTCGACATCCGACCATTTTGTTACAGCCAGAGCAACTTTCATCAGCAAATGTTTTTTTGTAAATGATGACGTCAAAATAATCAGGTGATAACCAATCATCAATCATTTTACAACTAAAACAATCTTCCCACCCTGCACGTGTATACAACTATATGTTCAAATATTTTAATTCGGTTCTAGGTATGGGTTTCCACCCCCTCAACACAAGCATGATGGATATCGATTCGATAGCACGATCTAGTTTTCTTCTCATTTTCTCATTAAATGCCGCGTATTGCAGCGATCTGTCCACTTCAGATTTACGGTGAAATTTCCCTTCTAGGTTACTTTTAAGACAGTCAACTCGTCGTTCGGTGATATTTAGAAACTGTAATATCCGTTCTGTTTCCCCGATGGGGTCACTCACTAAATCTTCGTAATAGCATACGTGTATGGGGTGGTGATAATGTTCCAGCCAAGCAGTTGCTACGTCTTTCCATACCCTGGTCCTGTTTTGTACAGTTCTGATCCACTCTAAAAAATGAACGATACACAAAATAAAAACTATGTGAACATTTCAACAATGTATATTGACGTGTGTCACCGTCTTCTGTTGTATTAGTTTAGGAAACAATTCTCCTGTTGTGTTGCCTACTTATACACTGGCTGCTTCAATGTTAACACTACGATAAAGACTGTCCGTTTTCGACATTGTGAAATTCTTTCGTTTTTTGAGAGCAAAAACCCTCAAAAACTGATTTTGATAAGATAATTCAGAAATTTATATCAAGAATAATTCATAACGAGATGTATTCCATATGCACCCATAAATATTTTTTTAATTACCGATTACACAAGAATATTATATAAAAAAGATAATTTGCTATATTCTCTATATTTTTTCCTTTTCATTTGTCTTGAATTATGACTGAAAGAAGCTGAATGAAATTACAAACTGTGTAGTGTGTTCAACAACTTATGTATGAACAATTACATTAATAAATATGACTTTACTTGGTAAAAAAAATGTATTTTTTCTGCATAAAAAACGAAAGAATTTCACAATGTCGAAAACGGACAGTCTTTATCGCAGTGCTCTGTTATATAATTGCTCAAGTATATTAAACAGGAATGTCCAATCAATAAAAGCGATAAATTAACTTCAGCAGAAATAAATATCACCAAGTTCAATGTCAAACATAAATTTACATCCTATTGGAAAGAAGAAATTCACAGTGATATTCTTGAAAAGTCTGAGGAAAAAAACGAACTCAGAATTTACATAACATTTAAATTCAATATAAGTATGGAACCATGTTTCATCAATATCAAAAACATTGATTTGAGAACTGGTCTGACTAAGTTCCGCCCGAGTAACCCCATGCCCTCAAGATTGAGACTGGCAGACACAACTGTACTCCACTCAATAACAGGGTTTGTGACACGTGTAACTAAGGTACCATTGAAAATGAATTTCATTTTATGGTGGAGTGTCCCAAATACAGTGACAGACGCAGGTGTTCTGTTTGATACAACGGCTGATGTGATTGACTCCTTTCACAACCTGCTTCCTGAAGAACAGTTCACTGCACAGTTAAATAATGCTAGTATTGTCATCCAGGTAGCACAGTATATCAACAAGTGCTTTGAAATTACACAACAAATACGAGAATAATATGTATCTTTCTTTTAGAAAGAGTTGTTTTTTCTATTAAAATTCTATTTTTGTAGATTGGTTTATTTTTATTCCTTCCTTTTCGTGTATTAATACTGTATACTTTTACTATTATCTGTAATCATTGTCATTCCATCTGGGGAGTGAGTAAGTGTTAATAAATAAATATATAATTTCCCCGTCAACAAACTTTTTGATTTCCACCATATGTTGACAATGAAGTAGCCAGGACTACCCCTACTTTACGACTTATTTGTTAAACATATTCCTACCTGCTCAACAACAAAACATTCCGGCAAGCTGTCTTAAAGTTTACATGTAGTTAAGTGTAGTTACGATAAAAAAATACTACTTAGCAAATGCAGGTTTATTATGTAATTATCATTTATATATCTAGTACCTAAAACAATTGAGACGCGTTCAATTTTTTCTTAATTTTGTGTCATATGGCATTTCTTTCTTTTATAATGAGTACAAACATGAAAAAAATACTTTGCAGACTTTGCGGTATTTTCGTAATAATCTTCAGTTACTACACACATGCGCAGATATAAGAAAATTTCATACTTCTCTCATTTGTGATATCCGCACTCCAGTCAACGACACCAGTGTGATTCTGTCCAGTGGTTTTCCTGTTGTACTCCGATATACAGGCGTCGTATGGATTTCTCATCAATAATACCCCGTGCGAAAACCGGTTAATACTTTCCCATCGCTCGTGTGTTTTCACCACCAACGTTCTGCCAGAGTCGTATTCGTCATACTCGCCATAGAAACCTAGAAGCAGGAACGACAGCAAAACAGAAACCTCATTATGAAGAAATGAAAATAGGATTACGTTGTCGTTCACAAAATATTGAGCTACAGAAATCATGAAGATTAATTAAGGTGAACGGCCAGTCGTGATCAGCCGCCGTCGGAAGTATCCTTACAAATCGTGATATTTCAAAAATACATTATCTGCGATCTACTTGTTTGTACGGACTGTACTATGACGCATACACCACGACTGATTGTTTTACGGAAGCTGCACGACATTTTTTTAAATTCGGAGAAATATTTTGTTTTTAATATAGTCGGTAATGTTTGACAATTTCTACTACAAACTGTCGCTGTGAAGTTTCGGGTGCGCCATAAAATACACCAACACAATGCCTAAAATTGAGAAATGTTGAACCAGGTTGATACCACGCGTGTTACTTTTACGCGCACTCGCAGCTCTATAATTGTACGTACCACTTAGTCCAATGATTGCATCGCATTTAACGCAATGACTTTGGTACTACATAACAATTTACCTAGATTAGTCAAGTAGTTAACGTACCATATTTCCAATGTATAATTACAAAATACTAAATTTGTCAATATAGCAATCACAATCCCTATAATATCTAGCAATAATCATATGATGGAAGAACAGTCAATATTCAAATGTATATACTAACCTAGGATTCGGTAAATATGGCTGAATAAAAGTAATGTTCTGCCTGATGCCAAGCTTTAAATGATGACAGTAGTAACAATGAGTTTGGTGTCAACCATTTCTACATCTGATATGTTTCAAAGGAATTCCACATAATCGAAAGTCCCTTCACCGCCTCACCAGCTTAAGGCACCACTCTCCCATATCACACGCATACACTCAAATTTACACACACAAACTAACTTACCACCTGCGTAAAGTTTTTTGTCGTTGTACGCCGACCCCGAGTAAATCCCACTAGCTTGCTCCAATAGAAACCTGACCCACGTGTTACCAGAACCAGGTGAGCTCGCTAGTGCAACAGCTGGTAGACTGTGATTTCGTGCAAAATGTACTCTACAGTTATTTGCTGTGAGCGGAGGTAAAGCGTAGATATCATTAATTTGAAATTTAAATGTAAACGTTTATTTATGATCAATGATACTCAGTACATGTATGGCATTTGTCGTTATTCAACTTTTATTGCTGATATTTACTATATATTTACTACATATTTGTGGCAACTCAATGACATTGACGACGTCCATAGAAACTCAATGACATTGACGTCCATATAGCAACTCAATGACATTGACGACGTTCATAGCAACTCAATGGCATTGACGACGTCCTTAGCAACTTTAGATGATTATAGACCATAAACTTACCTATATGGCGACCAAGTTTAGAATGTTCTTCTTTCCTGTCCTCCGCCTCGGTACCAGCTTGGTTATCTTGCCATGGTTCGGCTGTGCTTGTCCATCCATCCAGCGGTGATGAAGTGGACGATAACATCAAAGCGTCAAGATGATTATCCAATGCATTTTGGTTTAATACCACAGAAGTCTGGTGCTCCTTAATGTTAAATATCGCACTTTGATCTCTGGCATCATTGTCCCTGCTCGCATCGGCGTAGCGTGTTTTATTGAAATGGAATCTATGGCAGCAGTTGATGACGCATAATATGAACACAATAATGAGAACATGCACCAACCTTTTACGTCGATGGACAATCCTCATCACCAAGTGATTTGAAGTGGTACGTATCAAAAACCAATCACGTGTCATCTTAAAGAACACATCATCGATTACCTCAAAGTTTCTGAAAATAGAATTGTTTATATCTGTACATTTCAACAACACGATTCAATCGCCATGTTTGCAGTCAAACAGATTTGTAATTTACCAGTCGTGGCTTGTAATACATACGCATACGCATATGGTAGCAGATGTGTGTTAATCCTTTAATGAAACAGCAAGAATTCAAATAATATCACGGATTTTTTATTTACATTTTACATGTTAACGGTTGTAACATATACAGTGTGTTCAGTTTTATATTTTGCTGGCGATATCATGATCACCATTGTATCACAGTGCCATCAATACAGCATTGTGTCTGGACAAGACGACGATACCTGGCCATGGGTTCAATTTATGCAAAGATGCACCAAGTACTGTTATCATGAGTCATGTGTTTGCCAAATTGAATGAATACAAAACATCGACTTTAATTCTGTTTAATGCTGAGAAAAAAGTGAAATGGTGAACATCATATATAAACAGTTTTCATAAAAGGAAAAGTCTTTTTTAATGACAAAATTGTAGTCCGCTTGAGCGAACAGTGAACATCACGGCCACAAATAAATATATATCAAATATAGCAATGTACTAGTATTACGAAATGCAATTCAATAACTACCGCAATTACACGCATATAAAACTCTATAAAATTAGGCCGTTTCTCTGTGTAGTAGTTTATCTGAAACGATTAAATGCTTGTTCCGGGGTCCATTTGACCCCGGGCGCGCCCAGAATGTTTACTCGATTTAGCACAATACATCGATTGTAAGCATTCGTCTACAGCTCGTAGATATTTGTCGTGAATTGTGCAATATCTCATGGTAAGGGAGAAGCGGGTTATTTGTGATTGTAACGTTTCATGCTACAATGATTTTATGCTTCCTAAACTTGAAACACAGGACTATTTTACACAAAAAAGAGTGATTCGTCTGATTTTCGAAATCAAATAGCATCAGCAGACGATAATCAGCTCTACCCTGCATTCTATCGCAATGATTCACGTTCCACTCTCAACTTCATT